AACTTACCTGATGTCCAAACTGATTGCAGGGCACACCCAGAATAACAAGTCCCTCGGCGGAAAAGCGAGAATGTAGCTCGTTCATCTGAGTGTAATCCCTGATTGTTGTTCCTCAGAGAGACGCCACATTCTCAATGAGAACGACCTTTCCCTTCAGTGCTGAGAAACTGAACGTTTCACCGGACAGCAACTTAGCTGTAAGGTCGTAAAACCTTTTAATGGTTCCAGCCATGTTTGTGAATCCGTAACCAGTCCAACGAAGATAAAGTAAACTTCAACCCTGAATTTCAAGTTTCCTTAGCCCTCATAAGGCGGGGCAAATATAAACGCTCCTCAAAGCTGGTAGGGTTGTGCACTATTTAAATGCCGGCGTACATAGCAGCACACCAGGAAGGCGGAGTTTGGGTTTGTGCAGGAAAAGCGTGCATCGACTTCAACTTACAAAACGTGTCAATAATTACACGTTTTATTGAGTGTTTATAGCTCTCAATATTATGTCGCGTATTTAAAAAAACAAGGACAGAAGCAAAAAATAAAAACAAGTGTCTTTGTAACCTGGTTAAATACAAAATATTTTTGTTGTAATTGTTACATGAGTCACATGTGCATGGACAGGKGAAAAACAAGAGAACTCTCTTTAAGAAAGTTTATGCTTTTTTATTGATATTTATTGTTTAAAAGTTCTCCCAGACCCCCGCTCTTTTGGTCATAATGGTACAATCCAGGAACACTTTTTAAATAAATGTACCAATAAAAGTAGGCATTTTAAACGCACTAGATATGTGTAACCATAATTTTAGTGATATATTTATGTTTTTATCTACTGTATGTAATRAAACGTAATGGTATACTGTATGTGATGTATTTTACCGCTAGATGGCGCTGTTGTTTTTCCTTCTATGACACAAGTGAATAAATCCCATCATTTATTAACTGCTTGTTCATATTGTATTAATTGATTTGATTTTGATTTATTCATTTCATTTAAAACAAAAAAGTTTACATTACAAAAAATACAAAACTTATATCACAAAATAAAATGAAAGGCAGCAGAACGAAGAAAAAAAATCTTATAATATCTGCCCCTTTTTACAAAGAAAAAAAGAAGAAAATATTAATAGTATTCTGGTTACAAAAATACAACAATACAGAAACAACAACAAATAAAACTTACATAAATACCCCTTATTCTAATTTATATTTGTTCAATAAACCAAGTTTAATCATTCTTTTAAACACAAACAATGATCCAGCATTTCTAACATCACTCTCCAGATCATTACACAATTTCACTCCCTGTATCGACGACGTACACCGTTCCCTCAAACGTGTTCGATAGCTGTTCTTCACAAATATTTCATTTCCCTTTAAATTATAAGAGCTTTCTCTTTTAACAAAATGTAAGTG